GAATATTTTAAATTAAACAAGAAATATATTGCTCTAAAAGAGAAATATGAGCCAGCCAACGATTAATTTTTTAAAAATTGTTTTTTTTTTTAATTAATTTGTTTTGTTTTTGTTTTTTTTTTTTTATAAAATAGAATTTTTTTTATAAAATTTTATTGTTTTTTTTTTTATTTTTGATTGTTTTTTATAAGTTATAATTTTTATTAATAAAATAAAAATAATAAATTTTAAACTGATTAGATTATAATTAAACTTTTTGCCTTGCTGGAGCTTTTTTTTTTGGCGTGCTGCTAGCCTCGCACGTGCTTATCGCGGGTTGTAGGATAATAATCATTCATTCTGATTCGAGTTTTTGATTGGGCCCCTCACGTCCCAATCGCCAATACGAATCGCCAAAGTATATATTTATATTTATTTATTTATAAAAAAAAAAAAAAATTAATTAATAAAATAAAATTATTTGAAATAATCTTTGATAATATTTTTATATTCTGGTAAATTCAATTTAACGTCTGTTTTTTTTTAAACCTAAATATGCAAGTTTGTCAGCTTATTCATTTCTGTAAATGCCATTATGTCTCCCTTCACATGTTTTAAATAAGTTTTCCTTTCACATTTTTTAATCAAATCATTGAATCTCTAATCAGTTGTTAAACTGATTAGATATAATAATTAATAAACTCAATTTTTCAGGTTCCAGCCTGAAAAATTGTGATGACCCTCTTTATTTTATCCCTGAACGATGCTCTGCGCTTTTTTCGTTCTTCAGAGAAGAACCAAGCTTTTTCTCCATCAGTTGTTTCTTCGAAATGACAAACGCCTCGATTTGATGATAAACAATTCCAACAAGTTGCAATTGTTTCTAATCAAGATCTCATTTTTGTCAAATCTCAGAAACAAATTTAATTTAGTTTTAATATAATATTTATTAAAATAAAATAAAATAAAATATATTGTTAATAAACTATTTAGGTTCTTTTTTGTTTCATTCCATATTAATTCTTTTGAAATAGGGTATAAAAATAAATTGAGATCATGAAGAATTAGTTAAAAAGAAATAACTTTAACAAAATAGATCCTCGCATAACTGGTAGGGAGATAGTTTTAGCTGAGAATGCTAAAATGCAAATAAGAATTTACGAATTACAACAACAGATTCGTGCTTTAAATGCTGACAGAGATGAATTGGTTCAAGAAAATACACGTTTAAGAAATAGAAATCAAGAATTTGAAACAGATAATAATCAGATTCGTGCAACAAATAAAAATTTGACGCGATTAAATGACACGTTAAAAATTGTTTTGAGAGATGCTGAAGACGAAAGAGACCATTATAGAGCTGCTAATATCAAAGAATTTGAAGATTTTATTTCGAATTATATTTTTGGCTTATTTAATAATATTGGAACATTGTTGCGATTCGATAATCAATACATGAGAAATATTGTGAATTTGTTGATATTTTATAATTTTTTCCAGATTCCAATTGTTTTTCACTATATTAAAATAATTTACATAAAGTTTTTATACCCGATTTTCATAATCCCATATATAAATCTCACGACGATGAAGAGAATTCATGTTATTGAAGTATTGTTTGTAAATGTTATTATGTTTTATTTTAGTTTATACTTGATATTTTTTGTCTTTGCAAAGTTTGATAAAGATTTTATTATATATGTTATTTAAAATAAATTTATCAAATCAATAAACTAAAATATTTCTTTTTCATTTAAATTTCCAGAAATTTTATCGTGTTCTAATTTGAATTGAATTGTTAATTGCTTTGCTTGTTTACTACTTCTATTTTTTGTAATTCTAAATATTTTATTTTTATATTTGTTATTTTCTCGCTATAAAAATTTCCAAGCTTTATGATATTTGTCATAACTAATACCATTATAATTAGAAGTATTATTCTTTTGAAGTTTACAATTTAATTGGTTTTCTCGCAGTGTTGTATCTCGCAAATTGATAATTCGATTATCAAGAGCACATCGGTTTATATGGTCAATCATTTTAAACTTAAGACAAATCAAACAATGAAGTAATAAATTTTTATAATTTTGATCTTTATCTCATGTTGAAATATAATATGTATTTCTAATTTTTATAGATGACCAAATATAATTCTGAAGCAGATAAAAATTTTTTTTGTCGAGCAGAAAAGTAATATTAGGTTTTTAAGTTTTGACTTTTAAATAGATTGTAAAATTAATCTTCACAAGGCGATATTCATTTAGTTTAAGTCTTGGTTTATCAGGATTGTTGTATTTCTCCCAATCTGTAAGGATTTTGAAATCTTTGAATTTTTCTGACCAATTTGACATTTTTATTATTAATAAAAAAAAAGATACACTAGAAGTATTTATAAATTACTTCTAGATTATATTTAAAGAAATTTAAACTATGTCGACAAAGTAACTAGTAAAAACCAAAAGTTTATCTCCTTGTAAAGGCTCCCTTCGAGTCGATAAACTTTTGTGCAAACTAAAGTTCGCTCTTTCAAAAAAAAATTCAGTGTGTGTTGCTATGTTGTGTTTGGTCGCTCTGAACTAATTAATATTGATTCAGATTTATTTTTAAACAGATATTATAAATGAATAAAATATATTTAAGCTTTATTGAGTTGTTCGTTGATTTGATAAATTATATGCTTCAGTATAAAAAAATAATAAATTAAGTTCGATCTGAAATAAAAATCCTCAATACAATGCATTTTGTTGTGTAGGTTTTTTGCTAAATCTAAGACAAAAGTATTTTGATCTGTAGAATTGACTATATTATAATGCATTTTTTTAAATGTCACTACTATATGATTTGTTTCCTTCATTTTAGATTTTCTAGTTTGTTCCAATAATTTTTCTAAATAAAATAAAAATGTTTTATACAAATTTGGGTTGTTGATATCGATTTCAAATTGATAACTCTCGCATCTAAATGTCTCGTTTGCAATTTGAATATTTTTTTTGAACTTTTTTATTACTTTCGCTGGTAATTTTTGTTTTTGAGGAGGTAGTTTGTTCTTTTTTGATTTTAAGTTAGAATAATAATCGCGCTCCCAAATTTTTAGTTTGACTGTTTTGTAGTATATTTCAAGTAAACTTATTGATAGCAAAAGTTTTTTTTTGTCTTTGTAAAGATGCGGTTTATACTCGAATTTGGAATATTTTAACGAAATACTTATAACAAATTCGTTAGGAGTTGTTGATGTCTGTATTTCGTTAAGTAATTGTTGATATTTTCGAATAAATTTGGCATTCTTTTCTACTTTGTATATCTTTGACCAATGAAGAATTTTATTCAGGATTGATGTAAATCTTTCATAAAGCTTTGGATCGTTGAGATTTATTCTGTTTTCAAAAATATCTTTAATATCAATAAAACGATCGATGTAAGACCAAACTGGATCTATTTTAGTTAATTGATATTGTTCGTTTTGCTTCTCTAGTTTACGATAATGTCTTTTCTCTTCTTTAGATAATTTCCTATATTCTTCGCTAGTTAGTTTTTTAAACATTGCTGTAATAAATTAATTAATTATGAAATTAATTTTGAGTTTGTTTGTCGAATTCTGTTGTTTTGCTTCAGTAGTTTTATTTTTTACAATGTTTGTAATGTCCTTTAACTTTGCTTCGTAATTTTTTTTATATTGGATCGCACGGTTCAGAACAGATTTATCTTCATGATTTCCAGGAAATCGACATTTGTGAAGCTGTTTATTTCGATGTATGTCATACACCCAAGTATTTATTGATTTGTCATAGTATATATTTTCGAAACCAGATGTGTTTGAAATTTTCATTCTTTTAAAATTATTTTTTTGAAAAGGAGCGAGTTGATATTTTTATAGATTTTTTGTATCAATGCACGTGATATAAAAATAGATTAAAATTTCCTTTTTAAGAATTTGATCAGGTGATTTTTTAAAAAAATATAAAAAGACAGGAGCGACAGTAAAAAAAAACAAAAACAAATTAATTAAAAAAAACTACCAAAAATTATGTCTGGGAATTATAGATTTAGACATGTTATGTCAACTGTTTACTATTGTGTTCCTTGCTTGACACGTTTCAAATGTAAAAAAAATATGACCAAAAAAAAAAAACTCGAACGTGAAGAAGAATATTTTAAAACTGGTGTTGTTCCTATATGCGACAGATGCAATAAACAATATTGGCACTGTAAGCTAGCATCCTGTGAACAGTGTTGTAAACTTAACCAATGCAACGAGATTACATGTTCTTATTGCAAAAAATCTAAAATCAAATACCAACACGTCTTGCCAAAGACACAAGAGGAATTTATGGTATTAGAAAAACTTGGACTAACATACGTCTCTGGATAGTATGAAGTGACCGATTCAGGAAAATTTCATGAACAAGCTTATTTTCAATTTGATAAACAAAATACTATAAAAAGTGTGAAGAAATTATTCAATCATAATGCAATAAATTTTCCCAATTTTTTGAACGGTGATTCAGACCAGAATCGTGATTATAGTCAAAAGAAATAGAATCGATGCAAGGATCCGAATCATCGAAAAAAATGTCGTTGTGATTTTCAGGAGAAGGAAAAATTTGTAATGTATGCAATAAAGACTATATAGACAAACGTACTTTTGCTCGTTGGAGAGCCTTAGAATTATCAAGCGGTGAAAATGGCTTTTGGGCTTTTGGAAACTATCGCTACTTATCAAATGCAGATGAATTTACAAACAAAGATGAGATTAACGAGAAGCGACTTGAGGACATGAAACGAATTGAGCATATTGTTGAGAATGATTTGACAGTTGAAGATGTTTTAAAGAACAAGAAAGAATTACTACCTCGAAGCTGGTTAAGAAGTTTAAAAGATTTGGAACACTTAATTAAGAAAGAAAAAGAGTTAAGAGAAGTGAACTTGAAAAGATTCTGAAGACCATGCGTAATTTATCTATTTGGAGATGGGGGTTCAGGAAAGAGTAATTTGGTACAAAAACTGTTTAGAGAAGAACTTTACTCTAAACCTCAAAAACAAAAGAGTGGAAGTAATTGGTGGGATGATTATTCTGGACATGAGATAGTTTCCAAAAGCCCAAAAGCCATTTTCACCGCTTGATAATTCTAAGGCTCTCCAACGAGCAAAAGTACGTTTGTCTATATAGTCTTTATTGCATACATTACAAATTTTTCCTTCTCCTGAAAATCACAACGACATTTTTTTCGATGATTCGGATCCTTGCATCGATTCTATTTCTTTTGACTATAATCACGATTCTGGTCTGAATCACCGTTCAAAAAATTGGGAAAATTTATTGCATTATGATTGAATAATTTCTTCACACTTTTTATAGTATTTTGTTTATCAAATTGAAAATAAGCTTGTTCATGAAATTTTCCTGAATCGGTCACTTCATACTATCCAGAGACGTATGTTAGTCCAAGTTTTTCTAATACCATAAATTCCTCTTGTGTCTTTGGCAAGACGTGTTGGTATTTGATTTTAGATTTTTTGCAATAAGAACATGTAATCTCGTTGCATTGGTTAAGTTTACAACACTGTTCACAGGATGCTAGCTTACAGTGCCAATATTGTTTATTGCATCTGTCGCATATAGGAACAACACCAGTTTTAAAATATTCTTCTTCACGTTCGAGTTTTTTTTTTTTGGTCATATTTTTTTTACATTTGAAACGTGTCAAGCAAGGAACACAATAGTAAACAGTTGACATAACATGTCTAAATCTATAATTCCCAGACATAATTTTTGGTAGTTTTTTTTAATTAATTTGTTTTTGTTTTTTTTTACTGTCGCTCCTGTCTTTTTATATTTTTTTAAAAAATCACCTGATCAAATTCTTAAAAAGGAAATTTTAATCTATTTTTATATCACGTGCATTGATACAAAAAATCTATAAAAATATCAACTCGCTCCTTTTCAAAAAAATAATTTTAAAAGAATGAAAATTTCAAACACATCTGGTTTCGAAAATATATACTATGACAAATCAATAAATACTTGGGTGTATGACATACATCGAAATAAACAGCTTCACAAATGTCGATTTCCTGGAAATCATGAAGATAAATCTGTTCTGAACCGTGCGATCCAATATAAAAAAAATTACGAAGCAAAGTTAAAGGACATTACAAACATTGTAAAAAATAAAACTACTGAAGCAAAACAACAGAATTCGACAAACAAACTCAAAATTAATTTCATAATTAATTAATTTATTACAGCAATGTTTAAAAAACTAACTAGCGAAGAATATAGGAAATTATCTAAAGAAGAGAAAAGACATTATCGTAAACTAGAGAAGCAAAACGAACAATATCAATTAACTAAAATAGATCCAGTTTGGTCTTACATCGATCGTTTTATTGATATTAAAGATATTTTTGAAAACAGAATAAATCTCAACGATCCAAAGCTTTATGAAAGATTTACATCAATCCTGAATAAAATTCTTCATTGGTCAAAGATATACAAAGTAGAAAAGAATGCCAAATTTATTCGAAAATATCAACAATTACTTAACGAAATACAGACATCAACAACTCCTAACGAATTTGTTATAAGTATTTCGTTAAAATATTCCAAATTCGAGTATAAACCGCATCTTTACAAAGACAAAAAAAAACTTTTGCTATCAATAAGTTTACTTGAAATATACTACAAAACAGTCAAACTAAAAATTTGGGAG